GGGGGCGGGGGTGGGAGGTGGGGGAGAGGTTGCAGAGCTGGCACTGGTCCACATGCATCCGAGAGTTCCTTTTGAAAATCCCAAGGCCTGGCCCACACTGACATGAAATTATTATGTACTTTTGTTGTACAACAAATTATCATCCTATACTGTTGCAACAGGCATTTCTACAGAGAGTGCAGGTTGTAGTAATTTTGTCATATGGAGTAATATGTCACATAGACCATTCTGGATTTAGACCAATATATACAGTTTCTGGCCTAAGCAGTAACACATGTTTGGAGGAGAGGCCATTTCATTTTACTGGAATGGACAGTAAGTAGAAACACATTCCAGATTTCTTTTTTCTTTTTTTTTTTCTCCCCCTGCCCTGAAATTTGGCAGCCGGAGTCAGCCCTCCTTGCACTTGATCTCAGGTTTTCAGCTGCTTACGAACCCTGGTGCACAGAGCCCTACGATGCCCGTGTGTCTAGTGCCTAATGAAAGCTAAAATCACCGCCCAGCAGGGATCCCTGAACGCCTCCAAGAGCTGTTGGAAACGAACGCAAATGGCACTCAAACTTTGCCCAACAACATGCTCGCCGAGGCTCAGGACTTTTCTGAAGCTAATGTTATCCTTTCAAAGCCTGGCCTTGTGGAAACCGTTTTGTTGTTGTTTGTTTGTTTGTTTTGCTGTCGTTGTTTGGATGCTGTGTGAGTGGCATACAGGATGGGCAGCCTGGGGAGGGGGAGAAGCTTACTCCGGACCCTGGAAGATACAACCTGGGTCTCTGTTTGCCTGGGTCCCCCAGGGGACACTGCGTTACCTGCCACGTTGCCTGGATAAGGGAGAGGAGGCGGACAGTGAAGTCGCTAGCTAAGGGCATTTACTGCAGCTGAAAAATGTGGTCTGGAAAAGTGGGGACAGAGTTGGAGAAAGGAAGGGGATTCATGTCGACCGGACACCTAATTTGTACCTACTTCGTGCTGTGTTTAAATTGTATTTCACTCAGATGCCCACGCTCACCCCATTTTGTGACAAGGAAACTGGTGTGCGAACCCCAAAGCGTTTCTGTGGGATTTGATGACCACATGGTCTCGCCTACAACTTGGCCCCCTTCCTCTCCAGCAGCACTTTGCCTGGTGCCCAGCACACAATAGGTCCTTGGTGAGGCTTGGTTTTCCATGTGGTTAGTTTGTGGAAACCCAATGGGATTATAAGTTCTTCAGGTGCAGGGACCCCAAATTTCCCTTATTTACTTCGTTCCCCCCTTTAGGCCTCATGTGAGTGGGGAGAATCCTTTAAAACAATCATTCTCAACTGAGGACAATTTGTCCCCCAGGGGACATTTGGTAATATTGGGAGGCATTTGGTTGTCATGACTGGGTGGAAGGGTGGGTGGAGGCCAGGGATACTGCTAACACAGGACAGCCCCCACATCAAAGGATTACATGGTCCCCAATTGTCACCAGTGTGACATTGAGGACCCCTGCTGTAGAAGTAAAGCAGTCAGGCCTCATTGCAAATAAAAACAACCTAAATTACTTGTTTTAAAGACTTTTTAAAAAAAAGAATCATTAACACCAACATTCAATATACTTTCTTAGAAAGTTAAAACCGTGGTCCATCAAACATAGTTCATCACTAAAATAAATTGAGAATCAGAAAGGGTATAAGGGGAGGCATAGAATTACACCAGAACAGGAGCTCCAGAGGGCAAGGACTGTGCTGGATTAATTCTGAAACCCTGTTCACAGCACAGGTCTTAGCATGCAGTTGGTGCTTAAAAAATGCTTGCCAAGTATCTGATTGAATGAATCGAGCCTCTTGTTATATAATGTCCCACTAAATTGTACCAGCCACTGAATTGCTGCATGTTCTACAATCTATTAAGTTCTACAACAATACCCCAGAATAGCCATTGATGGGGACCTCACCACCTCACAAAGGAGTCCATCCTATTTTTGGAAGACTGTAAACATTAGACAGGGCAGTGGCTTCTAACTGTGATCTGGAGCCTCTCTAATAGGGCCCAGGGCTGTGTCTTGGTCACCTCTCAACGCCCAGGGCCTTGTCCAGGTCTGGCACAGAAGAGCTACTTACCACTCCGAAAAAGAGGTTCTGTGTGGGTGTCTGTGTCTGATGTTCTCCCACCAGGAAAGCTCTTCCTTATGCTGGACCTGTCCTTCCTACCCCATTGAGCCGACTTTCCTGCCTCCGAGACCAGTATTTCTAGAGGTCAGAGGCTCAGCAGGAGAGGTGACATGGTGGGCTTTGAAGCCAGATGGCTCTGGGCTCTAGTCTCGACTCTATCAGTGTGTGGCTGTGAGGCCATTGGGCCTCAGTTTTCTCATCTGTAAAATGGGCACATAATGCCTACCTCACAGGTCCCATCCAGGGAAACAATTATACTATGAATGAGTTATTATTTATTGACTGCTTGGCATGAACACAGCATGTTCTATCAGCCCCATTTTACTGGCCAGAAAACTGAGGCTCAGAGAAGAGTGACTTGCTTGAGGTCTCACAGTCAGGAAGTGCTAGAGGTGAATTCATGGCCGGAACTAATGATTTCAGGGCTCAGCTCTTTTTCACGACCCCATACGAGTGCCCAGGTTATGCTTCTATAACCTGTGCACCTGTGGATTTCCTTTTCCCCTTTCCAATTCAGCACTTAGAAGTGTCCTTGGGGTCGGCCGGGTGGCGCGTTGGTTAAGAGTTGGCTTGGAATGCCAGCTCTGAGCAGATGGACCCAGGTTCAGATCCCACATGAGGGCCAGTGACACTGCCCTCTACAACTAAGATGGTGAACAACAGCTTGACCTGGAGCTGGGCTGCCATGAGTCGCCAGCGACAGTGTAGGCTGAAGCAACTGCTGCAGTGGGCTGCCATAAGCTACCGTGTGTGGCCAGCAGCCAGCGTGAGCGGCTGGCAGCCGGTGTGAGCTGCTGTGAGCCGCTGTGAGCGGTTGTCCAATGGCCAGCGACTGATCTGCCTCTCCCGGGAAGAGCGCAATGATAATACCAACATGGGCCAGTGAAGCAACGTCCTCCACAACTAGACTGAAGAACAAAAGGACAGCAACTTGTCTGTTCCCGTTACCCCAATTCCACAGCTCTGTTCCCCTCCCTCAATTCCCCAATTTAAAAAAAAAAAAGAAGTGGCCTTGGCCTGCTCTTCAGTTATTTCTTTGACCTGGTTTTGGTGCCTCAAATAGCCACAACCTCTCTTTTCCTGTGATCAACACTCTCCCCATCCCTTCTGTCGTTTGGGCACAAGGTGGGTGCTTAGATGGCATTTGGTGACTTGAAAAAATATGGAAGGGTAGCATCTTGCCCCGCCTTCCATCCCTTCACACACACACAAGCGCACACTCTCACACACACACACACACACACACACACACATGCACACACACGCACACACACACACTCTCACACGCATGCACACACACGCACACACTCTCTCACACACACACATGCGCGCGCACACACACACACAAGTGCGCGCACACACACAAGATCACACACACGCACACACCTCATACTGCCATGCATTTGTACAAACTCACACACACGCTCACCAACTCACACTCACACTCACTCACACACCCTGCCCCTGGGCACCATGTCCTTGGTGAGTGGGGGTCCCAGGTGGGGTCTGACTGCTGGTTTTCATCACATTACAAGCCTGCCTGGGGAGCAAGGCCTCATTTAGAGACGTGGTATTAAATGGGTATGCTTTCCGCCGAAATTGTTTTTAAGCATGTACATTTCAAATCCATTTAATATCCAGCCATCGGCTGAAATCAAGTCGTTTTGTACATGTCACATACATTCTTGTTCTGGGAAGGCCTGTTTCTGCAGCCGCGGCCGCCACATGTGTGTGCCAGGGGGCAGGGCGCGGGGGCTGCAACTGCGAATGGCTTTTCCATGTGGGCGATTGTGGCCGTCAGGAAAGCATCTCACAGCAGTTTACGCTTTCTCAGTTTACCAGAGCCCAGCATCTGTTCTGAGGCGGAGCTGGGGCAGCCCGTGGCCCACCCCACCAGTGCCAGGAAGGCGCCCTCCCCGACCAGCTCTGAATCTGTAGAAAAGAGAAGAAAAAGGGGGGAGAGGGGAAGAAAAAGAGATGTTGACACATGCTCCGAAGAGGCCAAGGAATTCTGTTTACTCCTCGGTGATATTTCTGCCTTTTGTTGTGGCAAAGACCTGCTTTTACTGCATTGTTGAAACATCTTCAAAGTCTGGGAATCTGAGGGGCAGTCCAATAAAAACCTTTGTTGAGCTGCAGCGGAGAGAACCCCAAATTCAAATCAGGTCCCAGCATTGGCAGCTGGAGCTGAGCGTGGGTGGAGGAGGCCAAGGGCCCCTGTCCTGGAGATGGGAGAGGGGTGCAGAGCACTTTCTGGGAAGAGTCCAGCCAACTGCAGTGTCCCTGGGAGCACTGTGGGGCCAAACAGGTCCTGGTTCAAACCTGGGCTACACCATCCAATTCAGTGTGTTACCTCAGACCTGCCATTTTGCCTCTTTGAGCCTCAGTTTTCTCATCTGTAAAATGGGGGAGGTTCATAGCAATCTGTAAGGCTGATATAAAGATTAGAGACCAAGTGTGTCAAGTGTTTGGCACATGGGAGGTATTAATAGATTTTAATTCCTCATTTCTTGCTCATATGGAAAAATTCACTGCTGTGCCTTGGGCCCCACTTTCCACTCTAAGCTCTGGGTGTCCCACCACTTCTAGGAATGGGTAGCATTGGGCATCCCCTGTGCTTCGCACCTCACACGATGAAGGACGGCAAGTCTGTAGGTCTCTTAAAATAAGGGGCCAGTACTGTGCCCTGCCACCTGGGTACACAGGTGCCTACAACAGGCCGACGACAGGCTGACACTTTAGGACCCACTCATGTGGGACTTGAGGATGGAAGCAACCAGTCCACAGACTCAGGGGACCCCAAGAAGTGAGGCACCCGCCTTGTCCAAGCACGTCTCTGTTGTCCGCAGGCATTGTGCATCTCGGGCCCTGATCAGAGGTAGAGACGTCTCAGATGTGGCTCCCTCCAGTCCAGTCCGTCCAAGCTGAACTCTGACAGCTGCCATGGCCCTAGTTTAACCTTGGGTACTATTCAATTTGAACTGTTCCTTTTGATGTTCCGTGTTTATTAGGTCATTCAGTCAATCAGTAGTTCGACAGATGCTGAGCACCTCCCATGTGCCAGGCTTCAGACATGAAGTTCAGTCAGACCCAGCCTAGTGGGAGAGGCAGGCATGCAGCCCCAAAGGGCTGGCTCTGGTGCTGGAGCCGCCCAGGAGGGCCCCCAACGCAGCCTGGCAGGGGCCTGAACTGGGAGTGAGCAAGCCAGTCCTCTTAGAGTAGAAGACCTCTGGACGACTCACTTTTTTCTCCAGGTCTCAAAACAACACAATTGCCCAGACCTAGTAATTGGAAACTTCCTTAAGACCAGAGGGATGTGGTAAATGAGGCGGGGGGGGGGGGGGGGGGCGGACATCTAGTGTGAGTGTGCGGTTGAGGGAGGTGAGTGGAACGGAGGCGTTTCAAAGGAGATGTTGCTACCTCAAAACCCAATTCACCTGGCTGCCCAAGGGCTGCCCCACGTGGGCACTGGGGAGTCACGTGGGCAAGGTAAAGCTTTGTGCCCTTTTCAAAAGGAGAACAATGAACGGAGGTCAAAGGAGAGAGGCAGGGTGACTGGGGACACAGAGCACAGCCATCTGACCCAGTTGGGAGAGGCAAGTGGCGAAGGAAGGTGTGTGGAAGGAAATGAGCTTGAAGCTGGAACCTGAAGGTAGAGTGGATGTTAGACAAAGAGCAGCGGAAAGGCTGTTCTGGGCAGGTGTGAACAGACGAGGGGAGGCCTGGAGCAGGGGAGGGCGGAAACAGTCTCAGTGTGGCCAGAGCGTATGCAGAGAAGAGGCGCCGGAAAGACCGTCAGGGCCCAGGTCGTGGGGCCGTGTCACCGGGTCAGGGGCGGCACCGGGGCTGGCTCGATTTGCTGACGTTATGCCATTCTGGACCCTTTGTGTTCATGCCCTGCTCTACCCCATGGTGAGTCTGCTCATTGCAAACGTGAGCCACCTCTCTCTCTTGCTTAAATGCTCTACCGATCCACGGCCCTCAGCGTAAAATCCAAACTCCTTACCATGGCTTTCGAGGGTCCCCCGGGTTTTAAGACATGGGCAGGGGAGTTAAGACCTTAACCTTTAGAGCAGGTGAAACTGGGTTCCAGTCCCTACTTACGATTCGTTGCTCTTGAAGAAACTGCTGTGCCTTCCGGAGCCTCAGCTTCCTCATCTGTAAAGTGGGCACAGGAAGTGAGCTGATACCCGTGTCTCCCAGGAAGCTTCTGGTGAGTAGCAGCTCTGGCCCCTGAGAACCTCCTCATTTCCCACCTCTCACCTTTACAGCTAGTACTCGGAGATACTGGAGAGCCTGGTGCTGTTTCACGCCTGGGACCCCCTCCCTGTGCCTGATTGCCTGTCAGACTACTCAGCGGGAGAGACCCAGCTCAGGCGTCACTTCCCCTGAGAAGCCCTCTCCGACTTTCCTCCCCTTGGTTGCCCCCACCTCTGCCCTCCCTGAACCATCATAAACAGCACAGCTGCACCTTCCCTCTGGGGGACAGAGGTCTGTCTCCTTTCCGTGCTCCCAGTACCCGAGTCAGCCAGGTCCCCTTACCTCTGGAACCTCAAGGGCCTGGCACGGAGTCGGACACCCACCAATGTGACAGATGAGAACGCTGAGGCTCACTCGCACATTTCATCTGACTTGATTCCAATCGCAATTTTCTCTCCCCGGGTGGAGACCGGGATGTGGCAACCCTGAACTGGGTGCTTGTTCAGCGGCTCTTTGGCTGCTGCTGGGCTGTCGCTCAGGTCCCGGCAGGAAGGTGGACACAAAGGCCCAGTGTGGTCCGGCGAGGCGGCCCCGACCGGAGCACGTCACTCAGCCTGGTTTCTCGCTGCTCGAGTGATGACGTGTGCCATCAGGCTTGCTGCGAGCTTCAGCCTTCCATTACCTCATGGCCAGGCAACACCTCCCAGGTCATTGGCCAGACTCTTGCTGGGGGCGTCAGCTGCCCCTCCCACCAGTGCCCCCACAGGGGGCAGTAAGAATGGGAGAGTGCCGACAAGAAGTTGGGCTTCTGCCCCATGGCTGCAGGGGACCGACTCCAGGCTTCTGGGGGTAGGGGCGTTTAGTACCCAGCTGGAAAAGATCTCAGCCAACCTTTCATGTTGCTAAGAATATCTGACATTTACTCAGTGCCTATTATGTGCCAGGCTCTGGGCTGAACGCTTTACACATTTTAATCTCATTTAACTTTACAGCTCTGAGAAGTAGACAGTTACTATCCCTGTCCCCATTTTACAGATGAGGACACTTGAGGCACAGAGAGGTGAAGCAACTTGCCCAAGGTCACACAGGCAGCAGTGCTGGAGTTTGAACTGAAAGGTTGGAGAGTAGAACATGTGCTCTTTAAGTGGCTTTATGCTTCCCATTATATAGATGGGGAAACTGAGGCCAGTGGGGAAGGGACTGTCCCATGCAGCAGGATGTCAGAGAACATGTATCCCCTGATGCAAAAAAGCCCGGGTCTTTTCCTGCCTCACCTACTTGCTGCAGAAAACACAGCTCTGCCTTTTGTTAGTTTGACTCTGTGGTCACCCAGACCTGGGTTCAAGCCCAGCTGAGTGACATGGACTATGTAACTTCACCTCTAGGAGCTTCGGTTTCCTCATATGTGAAATGGCACCACCACTCCCTCTCTGTAGGCTGTGTTGGGTGAAAAGGGGTTGAGCGCACGACTTACAGGGGGTGAGCAAGCAAGTGACGCAGGGGGACAATTATTATTGCGGTCGCTCCCTCAGCTTCCATACAGGTCCAGAGGCACTGACAGCGAGAACACGAGTGCAAGAGACTAAAACCCAGGAATGGAGGCTGAAAGGCAAAAGCTCAGTAGGGAAAGCAGAACCGTCACGTTGTGAGGCCCGGAGAGGAGAGCCGTGGCTGGCAGTGTGGCTGGCGGTGTGGCTAAGCAGTGCCCTTGGTCGTCAGAGCACCCAGGTTTAAATCTAGTTCTTGGAATCTGGGCAAATTACGTAACCTCTCTGAGTCTCTGTGTCCCCATCTGCAGAATGGGACAATAATAGTGACTGCCCCCTAGGGCCATGGTTGCGAGGGTTACCTGAACTAAAGCGATTTGCACAGTGCTTGGCTTAGAGTGTGAGTATTATTACTGAGTCGACACAAACTTGTAGAGCACGGGACTTGGAGCCAGCAGGCATGTTCTGGGGATTAAATGAGATTTCAGCCTGAGCAGCCAGCAGCTAGAAGCCATTCAGATGCAAGGAATGGACATATTTCTCTTTTCTTCAAAGTCACATTAAATCTGGTTCCACATCTGTATCTATCTGGCTGGCAGGATAGTCAGTCTCAGCCCTTTAGGGATGTGGAGTGGGAGGGGCTTGCTTTTCCTAATCTCCTACAAGAATTAAGGAAACCTTATCCAGACGTGAAAATCAGGGCCGGGCACCTGGTCTCCCTCAGTTGTGCAAGGTCCCAAGAGTCTTCTCTGCTCATGGCATCTACTCCCTTGGTGCCCACCTGAGCCCTGGAAACGTCACTGGGCTTCGTAGGCCAAAGCTAGGCCAGGCCAGCTTCACAGGTGTCAGGCCTTGTGCCCCGAAGGCCCCATGGGCCAACGCTTGGCCTAGTGCTCTGTCACCATCTTGCAGTTCCGAACACTTTTTGAACAAGGGCCCTGCATTTTCACTTTGCACCGGGCCCTGCATGTCACATAGCTGTCCCTGCTCCGAGGGTCCAGCCATCTGTCATCCTCCCTGGAGACGCCACTGCCCCCGGCCTCGTGATGAGGTGGGAGGCCCCTGGCTGCTGCATATGAAGCCCACCACCCTCCACCGCACACCCACCCTCGGAAACCTCACCCTCCTTTCGTCTCTTGAACCAGACAAGCCAGTTTTTTGTGTCTCTGAATCTAAATTTCTGAAAAGAGGTCAGCCCCTTACCTCTCTCAGAGCCGGGGAAACCTCGGTCCTCTAGGGCACAAAGCTCTCCTTTCCTTCCTGAAAGGGAAAAGGGGGGAAACCCTCTCTCTCCTTCATGGCCAGCCTCCTTGAACCCCTCACATAGCTCATCCATCCATCAGGAAACAGTCCCTTGAGTGCGGGGCAGGTAGTAACTTCCAGCCTGAGGCTGGTGCGCATTCTTGTTCCCATTTTACAGATGAATGAACTAAGGCCCAGAGAGGTTCAGAGACTTGCTAAAGATCACACAGCCTCCCAGCTTCCTACTCTTCTCAATGTTTCCATAGACGTGGTCAGAGAGGGGAGGAGGTGGGGGCATAAGTGGGCAAAGTTATGGTTGATGTAACTCTAAATTAAAAGCCTTGGCTCAGTTTATAACCCAGAGAAATCTAGACTATTACCTAATACTATACAACAGACACCATCTTAAGAGTTTAACACTCATGTCTCATTTGTACACATGAGAAAACTGAGGCTTGTAGAAGCGCAGAACCATGCCCAAGGTTGCACAGAGCTAGGGACTTAGAGGCTGGGCAGGTGTCGTGGGTTGCAACCCAAGGAGGGGGCCCAAACCTCCGCTCGCTCGCTCGTGAGCAGGGGGACTGCAAAGTGCTTTTTCCTCCCAGCTCCGTCCTGCTCTGCAGGCGGGAAGGGCCACGTGGGAGCCCAGAGGTGCTCAGAGGATGGTTTCCATTTTCCAGCCGTGGTCTGACCACTCATGTTTTTGAAAATTAAAAATTAAATCTTGGCTTTGACCCGAGAGCAAAGACATGGTACTCTGCTCTTGGAGGCCTGCCCGCTCACCCTTGTGAATTGGGGGTTCTGCGTTGTGAAGGAAACAACGACTTCAGCTGCCAAAGAGTAGGTCATCCTCCCCACAGCCCTGGAACCCAAGAGTTATTGCTGTGAGCGAGAGCTGGGCGGCTGGGGCCTGGCGTTGATGGATATGAAGGCCCTGACATTCCGGGGTCTTCCAGAAACTCTCCACAGGAGCAGGACGGGGCTGTCTGCTGCCAGGGGTTTGCCAATGGACAACGTGGTCAGGACCTCGAGGACAGTGCTACTCAGATGAGAGCCTGCAGCAGGGGCCAGAGGGATATAGCTTCTGCAGGAACCTTCCAGTGACTGATACTTCCTTCTCCCTCTCCCTGAACTGTCATCAAAAGACAGACCTCTGTTTGCTCACCCCTTCTTGGTCTCCCTGCTCCCCCGTCTTGTTCCCCTCACATAGTCACTGTGCCAGCAGGAGGCTCCCACCACATTTCTGGTGCAAAACCTTCAGGGGTCCTGATACCCTTGAGGATTCGGCTGTGACCTGACTCTCTCCAGCCTCATCTTCTGCCACCTTTTCCACAAGAGCCAAACCATGGGAAGTTCCCCCAATATTTCATGATCTCACCCACCTCTCGGCCTTGGCTTCTTCTGCCCCTCTGCCTAGAATACCCTTCCTGCTTCTTTGCTGGGTAAAGTCATGCTCACATGTCCCAACACTCAGCGATCTTCCTAGATGTCTTCCTCAAGCTGGGAACAGTCTGAGCTGGTCTCCCCACTAGATTTGGGGCTCCGAGATGACAAGGCCTCGTCTTTCTAGGTTCTGTGTCCCAGCGCCCCAGCTCCATGCATTTGTCAAATTACAACAAAATGAAAAGAAATTTTTGTGCATCTCCCAGGACTCCAGGCTAGCTCGCACAGAATTTAAAAGCGCCAGAAATAGAAAGCGAAGAAGAGAAACCCCACTCTGAGATCAGAATCTAATTGATACTTGTGTTGTTCGAGAACTATTTCTTGAGCACATTTGGTGTGGTCCAGGCTCAGTATGGGACTCCGGGCTCGATACTGGGTTTTTTTGTTGCTGGATATTATTATGTCAGGTGCAAAAGAGACAAGGCTTCCTGGATGTCACAGATGAGAAGGGGAGAGACAGTCAACAAGCCAGTGAGCAAATAACTGCGATTACAAACTGGGGCAAGGCACCAAAGGGGTAGAGCCTGGGCGGTAAGAGACTGAAGGGCCTGCATGCACCGTGGGGCTGACCTTGACATTGGTATTTTCATGAGGTCACATCTTTGGGAGCATTACAGCTGGACATATCACACAACCCTGGAGAACACTGCAAAGGAATGCTCTAAGCCTCCCCGTGGGTGCTGGTGATGAGAAGAGGGAAGCTCCCCAGACCGCTGCCGTACCTGGGGTGGGGGCAGTCCAGCTCAGTGGTTAGAAGCCCAGCTGCACTGCGCCATAGAACTACCGGTAACCTTAGATAACTTCCTTGAACATCCTCCACCTCCCTTTTCTGAACTGCATATAAAGGGGAAACTAGGACATAGGGTTGGCACGAGATTAAATGAGTTAATGAATGTCAAGTACTTGAACAGTGCCTGGCACGTACAAGGCTTCAGCTATTACCGCTTTTATTATTAATAACCAGCCCTCAGCTGGCTGGGGAACTGCCCGTGTCCCGCCAGCAGGGAGAGACCGATGCACGGAAAGGCCCCGAGCCTCAAGGTCCTTCTGACACATCCACCGCAGTTGGACATCGGGCGTCCAGGGTGCCCTTGGCGTGTTGTGCCCAGAAGCTGGTTCCCCAGGGAAAAGCCTCGCTGAGATTTATTGGGTACATGGACAGGTAAATGTACCTGTTTATTCCTTCTTTCCCTCCAGCGTTTCCACCAGGGACGCTTGGGTGCCGTAATGGAAACTGAGGTTTATAGTCTCATTAAACTCACACAACCTGATCCTATCTGCATCCAGCTATCAAGCTCTAGGCCTGAACAAAACCAAAAAATAAAACGTTGTTTTTGTGGGTTTTTTTTTTTAAGCCCTTTAATTGTTTGCTTTCCCTACAGCAGTTTTCCTCTGATGTAAAAATCATGTGATTCCAGTGAAATACGATCTATATGTTTCTGATTCATTTACTGAT